TTTCTTTTTGTTTCTCTTATTTATTAATTTTTTTATAAACCCCTACCTACATATTAACCCTTAATATGGAACACATGGGATGGTGGCAGCATTGTAACAAGGCTGTGTGATACAATGTAAATACAAACTTACAAAATGGCGTATTGCGCTCAGACTCCCACTGCTCATATGGACACCTACGAATGAATGAACCTTTAATGGCCAGCTCAGTGGTAATAAAGATCTACCGTTATTTAAATGACATGCGGATTTGTCAGACTGTGCAGAGAACCTGCTTGTTTGAATGGTTTCATGAAAACCTATTGAAACAGCTGAAATCGCTAGATTTAGGTTGAGGCGTTAAGGAACGTTCCCTTGTTATATCAAATTAAAGCCCTTTCTGTCCTTTAAAAAACAGTATATAATATGTATATAATATGTGTATATTTGCAGTTGAACGCAAACAGCAAGAAAATGCAAAAATTGCTCGTGTCATTAAGATGTGTCCTTAAGGGGATAAGAGAGAAGTTCCAGCCCTTCAGTAAACTGTTAATGAGTTCCGATATCTTGGGGGCAGTAGGCACCAATTATCTACTTTACAATTGTAGATTAAAAGATGTTTTACAGGAATCCTGTAACACGACCGGAGGACGAGCAGTTCTGGAAAAACATGAAAAACGGCCATTTATCAAGACGTGTAACCATAACAGTTAACACAGTGAAACTAAGCTAGCAACCAATGAATATTATCCCTGCCAAACACACACCATTACTCTGTTTGAGTACTTAGAGGGGGGGGGGGTGGGAGGGGGTTGGATCAATTATCGATTTCCCTGTCATTTTCTTCATTTTGATTATTTTGGTATATTTTTATTTTGTTAGCTCTGGACTATTTTTAGCAGACATACCACTAATGGTAGTCAAATAAACCTCCCAAATGGTAATCCAATAAACCTGCCAAATGGTAATCCAATAAACCTGCCTAATGGTAATCCAATAAACCTGCCTAATGGTAATCCAATAAACCTGCCTAATGGTAAACCAATAAACCTGCCTAATGGTAATCCAATAAACCTGCCTAATGGTAAACCAATAAACCTGCCAAATTGTAGTCCAATAAACCTGCCTAATGGTAAATGTTTTTTTTTTTTTTTTATCCTCAGGTTTAGTTCCCCCTAGGGTCTGGGTGATTGGGTACTCCTATATATTTTAAACATGGCGATTAGTGGCAGTTTGGCCAAGGGGAAGCTCCTTGGATTCACGCCTTCTGCTGCAAAGCTTTGTTGGTTTGGTGCGGCTCCTCCTTGAGTTGGTCAAGCTCTTTTGCTTGCTTAGGGCGTCTTCCGTGTTGGTATACTTGGGGGGCAATGACCTGGGGTTTGGCAGACAGACATGATTAGGTGGGACTTACCCAGATCTTGATCCTGTTCCCCAATGTTCGCCTAGTGTGGTCAGAGGTGATTACTCTGAATTTTTGGTGGTAGGCCCACAACCAAAGTGCTCTGGAGTGCTGGTGGAAGAAGTTTCGTAATTTGTCCTGGGGGTTCAGGTAATCCTGGTTTGTCATTGGGTATTTGAGAGCGTGGCTGGAAATTTATTTTGCATGGATGGGGTTCACCTGACGGAGGTCGGGCTCGACCTTTTTAATCTTGCTATTCAGGAGGTGGTGGAGCAGACCTTGGGTTACTCGTATGTGGTCCCCCCCTGCTGATTTTAGGCTTAAAACAGAGAGGTTAGTGGTGGGGGCGTGTCCTTGCCAATCAGGTTGGGAGACAGTTTTACAGGTAGACTAATAAGATGGATAATTATCGGGTCTCAACCTCTACTGTCTCTTATGGTAAATTGTAAGGTTACCAAGTTGGACCTGCACCACTGAGCTAAAAGCCGGTTGGTGGGAAGCATTATGGACGTGCCCCACTGGGCTAAAAGCCGTCTGGTGGTGAACATTAAAGATTAAAAGGGAATTTTGGTATGACGAGTGAGGGGTGGTGAGATCTTAGATTGGTAAGGACGTTTGATTAAGGTTAAATAAACTTTTTGAAACTATGTGTTATTTATGTGTTCATTTATTGATCGGTTAGT